CTTATTTCTTCCTTGCCCCAGGCCTTCAAAGACCCCAGGCTTGGAGTGAGGGCGGCCTGTGTGGCTGTCTCTCAGCCTCACTGTGCTCTGTCCTGTGCACATGGGAGCCCCTGTGCTCCACATGTTAGCTTTGCCCGTCCACCCACGTCACCCCCTTCCCTGCACCTGGACCCCCCTCGATCTGGCCTTGGTGAGGCACCTGCCCCCAGTACACAGGTGGTATTTAAGCTTCACGGAGGCCAGACAGCAGACCCCGAGAGGCCTGTTCTCTCACTCTGTTCTCAGCCACAGAGGGAACTGTAAATGTGTCATGAGTTCTGTACCCCCGATTCAGGGAAGGGAAAGAAAGGTATGCAGAATTTTACAAAGAAAAGGTCTCATTGAGGATGGGTAAGGGTCTCCTCTTCCACCGGTGCAAGGAAGGGCTGTTGCGCTGATGCAGATAGTGTGGGGAAGACAGACAGCGCATGGTACAGATGCACAGGTGTGTGCTACTCAGGTATGGTGTGGATATCGCGTTTGGCGCAGGTGTACTCGGGTGCGATACAGGTAAATTCAGGTGCGTGGTACAGAAGCACTCGTCTGCGGTACAGACGCTCTCAGGTGTGTGCTATAGATGCTCTCGGGTGTTTGGCCCAATGGACTCAGTCAGGTGTGTGGTACAGAAACAGATGTGGCCCCAGCCCTCCCAGTGGGAGGCAAGGGTTTGGTCAGCGGAGGCACATTGAGGAGTGGGCAGTTTGGGAGGTGGTGGTCACCGGGGACTTGGGTGGCCAGTCAAGGCTTTGGTGCGTTGGGGGTGGTGGTGGGTATGTGGCTGTGTTTCCAGAAGGCCTAGAGGCAGTGGGGCTTAAGGGGCCGGAGGGTCCGCTGGGGAGTCCAGGCTACTTGAAGGGAGCAGATGGTCCTGAGGGCCCCAGCCCTGCCCAGGCCGCCCCATCTGGGTGTGCGGAAACTCCCTTCGATGCGCTGCACCCACATGGTTCCCTGCGCCGGGAGCCAAACCCAGCTCCGAGAGCCGTCATTCGGCCACACGGGGGCAGTGCAGTCACGCCAGGCAGGGACGCCTGCCCTGGATGCCTCATCCACAGCATGACCCATCGCGTGCCCAAGGACACGCCAGCACAGAATTAACAGAAGCAGCAGAGAAACTGGAGTGAGTGGGGCTTAAGGTCTGAGGGCAGCAACACCTGTCCTGGAAAGTTGTGAACAAAGACTTAGGCAGCTTTTCACTTACTACTTTGCTTAAGCTGTGCCCTGGGTCCACTTAGACATGGGTGTTTGGGATGGGCAGGCAGAGCTCCCCTGGGGAAGACGGCCTCTGTGAGGCCAGGTCAGCTGCCACAGCCGCCTGCAGTACCTGATCACTTGTCCTCTGTCCCCATGTGCCCTCCTCCCTCACCTCCCATCCCTTATTCCCTGTCCCCAGCCTGCACTCCCCCGTTCCCCCTTCCCTGGGCCCTTGATCACCTACTCTCACATACTCCCTCTCTTGCCATTTGAATGGTGTGTCGATGACCCAGCTCTTGACTTGACTTACAGGAAGACGAAGAACCTGCTGGAGACACCGGATTCTCAGCCAGCTTTAGCCTTGGGCTCTTTGTGAAGAAAATAATCCCGGAATGGTCAGAAAGGCCTGACTTGTGGCCACGGCTATGGTCACACTAAAGTTAACCTAGCCAACTGGGAGAGCCACTTGTGTCAGTCCAGAGGAGCCTGGTCAAGGAGGAAGGCAGGTGGGGGTCTGGGGACAGAGGAGGGCCTCCGCAGGGTGGGTGAGGATTGAGGCCCCTCCTGGGGAGGGGAGGGGCTGCAGGCGAGCAGATGCGCCCTCCCTCCTGTGTTGCTGAGCAGTCCCCGTGGATCCTCCTGTCACCTGAACCCCTCAGGTCCCCCAGGCAGGGGGTCTGTCCTGCTGGGCAGCGTGGGCCCCCCTCATCCCTCACCCTCACATCACCCGACAGGTGGGCCCAGGAGTAACCTGGGGTTCACAGCTTCTCCATAGCATTACTCACGGTTGCACATGTGAGTAGGTGTGTGTAAGTGCGCGTATGTGATTGGCCAGTGTCTGATGCCCACTAGAGTAGAGGCTCCAGGTGTCTGCCTCTAAAGCTGGACCATACGTACCTGGTGGGTAAATGGGTAAAGCTGGGGACTCTTCCCTCGTGTGTATATGTGTTAAGATATTTATAGCAACAAAACTTACATTGTTACAGTTTTAAGAGTACAGTTCAGTGGCATTAAGTACATTCACAGTGCTGTGCAGCCATCACTCCCATCCGTCTCCAGAACTTCTCCTCTTTCCAAACTGAAACTTTGTCCCCATTAAACCCTAACTCCCAGCCCTGGCACCCACCATGTTACTCCACATCTATGGATTTGACTCCTCTTGGGACCTCATCTCAGTGGCAGTATTTGGCTTTTTGTGCTTGGCTTGTTTAACTGAGCATCATAACTCCGAGGGTCATCCACATCATAGGTGTCAGAATTCCCTTTCTAGGCTGAATAATATTCTAGTGTTATTAATGGAAATGGAGTAGAAACCCCACATTTTGTGCACCCATTCATGTGTTGATGGACAGGCTTGTTTCCACGTTTTGGTGGTTGAATTATGAACATTGGTACACAACTCTCTCTTAAGGTCACTGCTTTCAGTTCTTCGTCAGACGTCTGGTTATGTACCCAGAACGGTAGATTACATGGTAATTCTGTGTGGACTTGTCTGAGGAAATTCCATACCATTTTTTATAGCAGCTACCCGTTTTCACGTTCTTCCCAGTAGTGCACAAGGTTCTCGTTTCTCCACGTCCTCGCCAAGAGTTGTTAATTTTTGCTAATAGTCACCCTAATGGGTGTGAGGTGACATCCCCTCTTGGTTTCCACTTGCATTTCCCTAACGATCAGTGATGTGGAGCATCTTTTCATGTGCTATTGGCTGTTCATTTGTCTTTGGAGAAATGTCAGTGTCATGAGGCTTTTCTCCTGTTTTCTTCTAAATGTTTTCTCGCTTATTTCAAATCTTAGATTGATTTTGAAATAGATGTATGGAGTTAGGTAAGGGT